GGGTGTTGTGTACTGAAGAGTTCGATGTTTCTCTCGCAGGTGCTTCCTGTGTCTGCACATGGAGGGGGCGTGCCAGGAGCAAGGTGTTACGAGATCGTCCTGACTCAGCCTGCTCCCTGGGCCGCTGAGTCACAACAGCACACCCCCCCCCGCCAGGTCAGGATGGCCTGAGTCCCCGTTAGCCCCTGGGAGCCCTACCTAGGAAGTGTGTGTTGGGGGACAGAGGCGGGGTGCTGGGTGCGGTGGGCCCCGAGGCTGAGCTCAGCCCTTGGGGTTTTTCTCCAGTTCAGGGAAGGAGACACCTGCCAGGCCTCCTCTAATTTTCATTCTGAGACAGGGTCCTGCTGCATTGTCCAGGCTGGGCTGGAACTTTGAATCTTCCTGCCTCAGCCTCCCAAGTGCTGGGATGATGGGTGTGGGCACTGCGCCCACGGGTGCCCTTGGACTGTGTTCTCCCTCAGCACTCAGAGCAGCTCCCTCTGGAGCCCTCAGCCTTGCTCCATCTTCCTGTCACCCTCTGTCACCTGTCTCTCCTGGTGTCACATGCGTGCCTCGTGTCCCTGGCATGACAACCCTGCCCAGTATGGAGCGGGCTGGGGCAGTCGCCTGCCCACGATCACAGGTGGAGAGCAGGACTCAGAAGGGAGCCAGCGGGGGCTCATGGAGGTAGAGGAGCTGAGACTCAAACCCAGGTCCACCAGGCCCGGCCCAGTGCCCCTTACACTTGACCTGGGTGACCCTGAGTATAGACCCGGGGGGCCGGAACAGGGGCTGAGGTGAGTCACAGCCCATTCCCAACATCCACCACCCCGAAGGGCACCGTGCAGTGCCTCCAACCTGCAGCCCTGCGGTCCCGGACAGGATGTCCTGCTGCTTCCCCCACATACCTCAGTCCATGCAAGGCCCTGGGGCCCCAGGAATGCAGACCTCGAATGCTGCCTCCAGTGCAGCTCCTGCCCGTTAATAGCACAGAGCTCCCTGCCCCAGGGCCTTTGCACAACTGCACCTCATGCCAGGGCTCTGTCTCTGCCTGGGCTCTTCCCTGCACCATCTCTCCCAATCCCATCCCTTCTGCTGCTGCTGCTTTGGGTTTCTTTCACTCTTCAGTCATGCAGAGGCCACACTACCCTGCCATGCTCAGCCAGAAGGGTGCAGCCCTGGCACTGGCTTGACCCCACCACCCATCCGCTACCCAGCCATCTCCAGAGCCTCCTCACTGTCCCCCAAACTGGCTCCTGGCCCAGCCCCACACCCTGTCCTGCTTCCTGACCCCTCGAAGGCCTCCTTGGGGGCAGAGCCCTGCCTCAGTTTTCCCAAATGAACGTCCCTCCAGGCTTCATCCACACTGTGGCCGATGTCAGAAGGCCCTTCCTTGTCACGGCTGAGTAATATTCCACAGGGCAGCTGCAGAGCTGTGTGGCCTCCCTCTGTGCATCCGCTGATGTGGCAGTGTGGCGTAGCTGAGGGCACAAATGTCTGTCAGTTATTGGGGTGCAGACCTGAGATGGGGTTGCAGGGCCTCTCATTTTCTCTGTTTTTCTTTGCGTTGGGTCCAGAATCCACTTCCTGCCCTTACTCTCTTCCCAGCCCCTGCTGGTGGGGTCCCTGTGCCCCTCCTCACTGGGCGGCACCAGGAAGCTGAGGCAGGCGTGTCTCTGAGAACGCAGAGCCTTTGGATTCACATCAGGGCTTCGGCTCAGCACATTCACCACTATGGACCTGTTTCCTCTTCTGCGAAACAGGGGTGACAGCTGGGGGCAGTGGCCTAGTTTCAGAGCAGCCGGAAGCCAGGCTTTCACAGCCCGGGCTTTTGCAGAGCCCAGCTGTGGGATGGCACTGGTAGCTCCTCTGCCCACCCCAGGGGCCTAGGACACACAGAGGAGTTGTGTTAGGACTCAGGTCCAGAGGGGAAACAGGCCCAGAAGCACAGGTCCCCATGCAGCGCACCCTCATGTGTCGCCTGGGCTCCCCGAGCCACAGACTCCGGTTCCCTGCAGCGGGTGACCCATGGGGATTCTGCCGGCCCAAGGTTACAGGATGCAGTGAGCCTGGGCCAGGCGCCCCAGTCTGAATGCATGGAGAGGCCTTGGGACCCGGGACAGAAGCCGCTGAAGAGCCTGGCAGGGACTGCGACACTGGCAGGGGCCATCAGAGATGGAGGAGGCTGAGGCAGGAGGGTGCAGCTCAAAGCCAGGCAGGCAACTGAGTGAGACCCTGTCTGAAAATGACAACAAAGGGCAGGGTGTGGCCTGTGGCGAGCACTGCCTAGTGTGTCGCAGCCCCAGGTTGCGTCCCCAGCAGTGTTCCGGGACACTGTGAGCGGGCTGGGGAACGCGGCTTCCCTGATTGTGCTGCCTGGGGCCTGTGGCTGGCGGGCGCCCTGGAGTCCCAGGACCTTGGGCTCCCACGGGTCTGTGGCACTGCCCAGCTTCCCCGTCCCACCCCGTGGGGGCTCCTGAGGCTGCACCTCCTCCCTGGCACCCAGGCCGAGTCACAGGGCTGTCACAGGAGGCCTGGCTCAGCTCAGGAGGTGCCGGCTGCTCCCATGGCTTGGGCTTCGGGCTGGGTGACCTCGGGCCCGGCACACAGGACGCCGGGCAGTGACAAGGTGGCCCTGGCTAAGGAACACAGAATCCCTGCATCCCGCACAGGGTCTCTCATGGCTTCAAGTGCCCACCGGAGCCGCACCCGGCCTCAGCTGAGGGCTTTCAAAGCCTGGGCTGCAACCAGTGGTCCCAGCTACTCAGGAGGCGGAGGCAGGATGGCAAGGTCAAGCCCAGTCCGGGTGACTGAGCGAGGCTCCGTCTCGAGTGGGAAAGGCAAAGTTCCTTGTGAGCCCTTGTTTAGCTTGACTGGATGTGAGCAGGGCCGCTGCGGGCTGTGTCCCTGCCCTCGTCAAGCCTCTGGGCAAGAGACTGGAGACAGTGGGGGCAGCGGGACGCTTGGGGCCTCCCCTCGGAGCGGACAAAGTAAAGATGCTGGGGCTCGGGGGCTTTGGTCTGGTCGGGTTTGGACTGTGGGACAGGGTGTCACTACTTAGCCCGGGCTGGCCTCAAACTCAAAATTCTCCTGCCTCAGCCTCCCAAGGATCTAAAATGATTCTGGAAATAAAGGTGATTAACTACAAAAGCAAATACATACACAGCAGTTTCCCAGCCGGGACAGAGCAGCACTGGGGACACCGAGGGGCTGGGTCTCCCAGCTGAAGGGGCGCTGGACCCAGGGTTTCTCTGGACGGGGTGTGCAGTCGAAGGTCAAGCCAGGGGCTCCTGGGAGTCGCTGCACTCGGCGCCCACAGCCTGGCGGGCGGCTCGGCACCAGGTTCTGACCTCCCGACTGGGGCCGGAGGTGGGACTTGGGGCCTTGGTTAGGGATCGTCACAGCCTGTGTGCCTTGAGAACACCGCACGCATAGCCAGCGCAGTCTGGAAAACAGCAACCTGCAAGTTTTCCCCATGGCTTCTTCTGCGGCCTGGAGTCTCCCACATACTTTTCTTTTTGTTTTTTTGATTAGGGGCCAACTACAGAGCCCAGGCTGGTCTCGGACTCACAGCGACCCTCCTGCCTTAGCCTCCCGAGTGCTGGCATCACAGGGGTGCGCACCACGCCCGGCCGTGGATCCAGGGGAGATCTGACTGGCGAGTCCCCAGTCGGCCAGAGAGGACCTCCAGCTGCCGACATGAATCAGAGGGCCGTATTTTGTATTAAAATACTTTATATTAATCATTCGAAGCTCCTTTTATACAATGAATGCATACATCGTGGGGGTGCGGGGATGCGGGGCCCGGGCGCCGGCTAGGCGGCCGGCATGTCAGCCTTGCTGAGCGCGATGGCCAGCTCCAGGTCCTCCTGCTCCTGCCTCTGCAGCCGCGCCAGCCGCTCCTGCTCCGCCTTCTGGCTCTCACGCTTGGCCCAGGCCAGCTGCTGCTCCTCATTGCCAAGCTGCAAGGGAAGGGCCGTCAGGGCCCGAGCTCGGCCCCAAGCAGGGAGCAGACACTGGCCCGGGGAGGAGACCGCGATGCGCAGGCGGGGTGGGAGTGACACAGGCCAGAGGGCACGCACGGGAGGGCAGGCCTGGCGCCTTCCAACACCGCACTGGGAGCGAAACGAGAAAACAAATGCCGGTGGCAGTGGTATCACAGAGCTGACGATGGGGAGGTGCGGTGGCAGGGTGACCAGGCCCCCAGGCCAGCCCAGGGAAGGGTGGCTGGGCCCGCCTGGCCAGAGCCCAGCCCGGGGACTAGGAGCGAGCGGCCAGTGGCTGAACTTGGGCTGGGTCACGGAGCCAGGGAGCAGGAGCTGGCGAGCAGGAAATCAGGGCCACGCGACCATGCGGCCAGGCTAAGGGCTGGGAGCCTCCATCGCCAGACCAGGGTCCAGAGTCCCGGGAGCGGCTACTGCTGGACGCACAGTGGCCTGCATTCCCACTCTGCACCCTGAGCACAAAGGCCACGACAGCCCACAGTGGACACGCAACAGCACACGGGCAGCGGCGAAGCTGAGACCCCTGCACGTCTCACAGCGCGAACGCCTCTGTCCCCGCTCACGCTGTGCAAGCCCTGAACTGGCGTCAAGGCGCCCGGCACCGCAGTGCAGGGGTCTGGGGGCGACACCCCGGCAGGGCCTCTGCTGCCCTGTGCATGCACCTTCCTCATGCACACGCTGCTGAGGCAGGAAGGCTTCTGCTGTTTCTGTGGAGCTGGGGATGAAACCTCTGCACCTCTGCACTAAGCTGCATCCCCAGCCCTTTTTATTTTCTATTTTAGTATATGTGCTGCCGAGGTGAGCATTTATTTTCTATTTTTAGAGAGGCTCTAAGCTGCCCAGGCTGGCCTGGAACCTGAGATCCTCCTGCCTCAGCCTCTTGAGCACTGAGAAGCTACAAGCACAAATAACCCACGATGGAAACTGCAGGACCACACGCTGGGCGTGCAAGGGGCACAGCCTGGATGCTGGGGGATGCGGCCTGTGCCACCAAGCCGCTTCTGCACAGGGACAGCAGCACTCTCATCGAAAAACCCTGAGAGGACTCCTGTCACTGGGGGTGGCAACCCCGAACCCCGGGGCTGGGTTGGGCTCCAGCCACAGCCTGGAGATGAAGAAGCCCGCGCCCCGGTCCCGAGGGGCAGGTCAGCACTGAGGCGAATCCGGGACAGGGAAGGCGGGGCTGGCCGTGCTCTGCAGAGAAGCGAGCCACTGAGACCCCACTCAGGGCACTGCAGAGCGAGGCCCCGTGCAGACCCACGGCGCAGAAGCAGTCTCTGTGGGGGCAGTGGCTCCCACCTCGGGGCTCTGAGCCCCACCGCACTCAGAGCCAGGCACCCGCACAGATGAACCAAGCGCTGCTCAATGCCTCTGTCACCTGGGCTTCTTTTTTTTCGTACTGGGGATCAAACTCAGGACCTTGTGCTTGTGAGGGAGGGGTGTTGCCACTGAGCCAGATCCCGGCCCCCATTCCTGCTGCTATGAACACTGCCCCTGTGCAGTCCCGGGAGTGGCTGTGGGACCGCACTACAGTGTGGGCTCAGAAAGGGCGGGCCTGGCAGCGGCTTCATTACCCTTCTGTGGTGCTCAGATTGAGCCCAGGGCCGCGTGCTAGGCACATGCGCTACACTGGGCTGCAGCCCAGGCCAGTTGGTTTAGGAAGGGACATCTACTGGGTGCAGCCACCCCAGCACTCAAGAGGCTGAGGCAGGAGGATCGCTGCAAGGAGGATCGGCCACAGAGTGAGTTCAAGGCCACTCTGGACTACACAGTGAGATCCTGTCTCAAAAAGCGAAATACAAACCCTGCCCTCCAGAGCCCAGGCCAGCTTCTGGGAGAGTAACGGGCTCTGTGGATGGACCACCCCGAGCTCTTCTAGACTGGATGTTTCCCACAGAAGTTAAAGACGTGCTCCTCTTCCCCTGCCCCTCCCCCTGGGCCTGCAGCTAACCCCGCACACAATGTCCCTCGGGTGGCTGTAGCAGGATGCAGGCACAGAGACCTTACGGGGACAGCGGACGCCTACTGCCATGTCACAACCTGGTGCTGTACCGGGAAACGCGGGGCCCCTCCGTTTCCAGAAAGAACAAGTGAGACAGCGTCCCTGGGCCCAGGACACAGGCCCTGCCGCAGCGCGGCTCTTTCCGAGGGTCCCTTTCCCTACGCAAGCGCCAGCACGAGCTCAGGTCTTAGCGACAGAGGGTGGGAGAGCCGCAGTCACCCTGAAAGTCACCCCAAGAAGCTGCAAGCGGGGGTGGGAGGGGGTGGCGCCACGGCGGGGCTCAACTTACAGAGGCGAAGTCGGCAAAGCCCGAGGAAGAGGCCTGAGAAGGCTTAGCTGAAGAGGAGGGGACAAAGGGGTCTTTTCCACTAAACGGGTCCCCAAACCCCTTTTTATTTTGGAACGGGTCGCCGCTGTCAGCCCCGAGTGGCTGGAACGGGTCGGGGGGCTCGGGGTAGTCTGCAGAACCAAGCTGGCTCACGGGTGTACTTTTACCTGGAAGGTTTAGGAGAAAGAACAAAAACAAAAACAAAAAAAAGGAGAAAAAAAAAAAAAAAGAAACACAAGTTACTCACCACGGACACAGCAGGTGCAGAGGGGCCCTGCCCCGGGGACGGGGACAGTGGGACGGGAGCGAGAGGGGTCCTGAGCGGCGCTGGGCCATCCCCGCTGTTCCCTCTGCAGAGCCGGGTGGAGCCTGGGCCTCCCACGTGCTGGGTGAGCACCCCGGGCAGGGGCTTCAGAGGCCGTGGGCAGCATGACAGGGCACACGACACACGACACACGACACACGACACACGCGAGATGGCCGTGAGGCAGAGCGGCGCAGACACCAGCGGGACAGGCACATGGTCGGGGACAAGGGCTGCGCTCCAGGACCTCCCCTCCTGCCCACCTCGTTCTGCTCTGTTCTGTGGTGCTGGGCGGAACCCTGGGCCTCCAGCGTGCTCCCCAGTGAGCTGCACCTCAGCTCTCTCCGAGACAAGGTTTCCCTAGGTAGCCCAGGCCAGCCTTGGCCCTGCGACCCTCCTGCCTCAGTCTCCCCCATAGCTGGGATGACACAGAGCTCACGTCGAATGTTCTATGGCAAGTCAGGAACTGCTGGGGGCGGTCAGTTTCAGAACAGCTCACAGGAGCGTTCTGAACGCTCCCGACACCGAGGAAGCAGAAACCGGCGTCTGAGGAGCCGGCAGTGCCAGCTGGCGTGGTCATCACACGCCGACGGGACTGAGATCCACGCCGTCCCGCAGAAACGCGTACGATTGCTAAGAGGAAAGTCGGTTTAAACACAAAGCTGCCGTGCAGTTTCGGAGTGACTCAGCGCAGCGGGCAGCGCCCCGACAGCTGGCGGGAAGGACCCTGGCCAGCCAGGGAAGGCACCGTGAGCCCCGACGGCGGCAGCCTGGGCAGCCCCAGACG